TACATTTTTTGAATTTTATATCTTAGATTTAAGATGAATAAATATATTAAGTTAATTAATAATTTATTTAAAATGTTAAAATTTAATTTATAAAAATGATATTTTAAAAGAGAAGGGTTATAATAACATCGGTGTAACTTTTACTAAGTATTACATCGCTCAATAACTTTATATTAAATGTGAATTTTATAAATTCAACCGTTAGATTGAAAGTTTTTTACTCTTAGATCATATATACAAAATCTTATATGAATTCAAGATGATTTGATACTTCATTCTTGTAAAACAAAATTGACGTAATATATACATTTCAAATAAAATATGAGCACTTTGATTACTTTTAAGTTGTTTAATTTTAACAAAAATTGATATAAACATATAAAGTGATATGAACTTTCAATCTATCGGTTGGATTTACAAAATTCACATTTAATATAAAGTTATTGAGCGGTGTAATACTTAGTAAAAGTTATACCAGTGTTATTATAACCCTTCTCATTTTAAAATATATAAATTATTACTTAAACTTTTAAATTTATAATAAATAATTAAAATTGTATCATAAAATTAATTTTAAATAAAAATAAGTAGATTGTTAATTATAAAAGTAAGTATATATATAAATAAAGATTAATTAAATATAATATAATTATTATTATTAGTAATATAATTATTATATATATTATTATATATTTATAACGGTCCAGATACACCAAAATGAGAAGAATCCAAAAATAATATAAGTATGAGATTGGATAGTTGAGGATGACTTAAATGAATTAATTTGTACTACTTATACTAACAACATGCATCTTTTTTTCAGTAGCTTATCTCATCATAACTTCACAATTAAACTTGTTTGACTTGGAGTAATATAGGGACGGGTGTAGGGATGGCAATGGGGCCCCATGGGGGCGGGTAATACTAAATCTGCCCCCGCCCGCTAAATGAAAATTGACCCCATACCCACCCCATATCTGTGTGGGTATCCATTAAGCGGGTATCCATGAATTTCTTGAATACCCACGGATATCCAGGATATACATGGATATTTATAAAATTTTTAAGAAATTAAAAAAGTTATATTACAAATAATTTTAAGTTTATATTTTAGTGTCATTGAAATATTAAAAATAAAAATTTAATATTAATTTTGAACTTTTATTTAATGTTAATTTTGTTGAAATAATAATAAAAATTCAAGATAATCAATAACTTAAAATACATCAATGTCACAAGTAAGTTAAAGTTTCATCACAAAGTTACAATAATTCAATCTCATAATTTCAAATGAAAGTAAACAACTTAAAATACATAAATCTTATTGGTCCAATCAAAGCTAGAAAATTAATCAAATTACATCCAACGTAATTTTATAACATGCTTAACACATGTCGGTAACTTCATCAACCTCACTTTTGTAAGAAATTAAGATGAGAGAGTGTAGTTTTAGGATTATGTGGTACAAGGATAATTAAGATATTTAAGAAATAATATTAAACGGGTACTCGCGGGTATGGACATCATCATACCCGCCCCCGCCCCATTTATAAGCGGGTAAAAAATTATCCGTCCCCATTATCCGTGGGTACCCAATTAGTCTATCCATTTATTATCCGTAACGGATTTTATCCACAGATACCCGCGGGTGGGGGTATTTTTTCCATCCCTAGATGGGTGACCTTCTGTGTAGTCCGACGTAAATTCTTCCATTTTTTTTATTTTTATTGTTTTTGATACACCCAAAACCTGCATACAGTCCAAAATACAAAACCTAACCCAGGCAGTCCAGAATACAAATTCAAATATAATTTATATTTCAAAATTGAATGACAAAAGGAAAATAATATATAAATCTTAAAAAGCATAAATTATGACAATGTAAATCCTATTATCCTAAAAAACCTATAAAACATATGTTTGTCAATGCTATCAAACTAGAAACATAATATCCAACTAACTATACTTAGAAATTTAACTAGCTATTATATACTTTGAAGAAAAAAAGTTGTCCATTGTTCTCTTATCTTGATGATTTCATCTTCGGGCAATGGAGATGGATCTTGAAAGACTTGAAACATTAATTTAAGTGTCATTAATATGCAATGTTAATTATCGTAAAAGGTAAATATACTTAAATAAATTTTGATATGAATTACCTGTACCCAAGAATCAGTAATACCTGCAGAAACTATGGCTCTCATCTAATACATGATGTAATAGCCACATTCAAACGAGTCTTGTTGCTTATTACACTAAAATGAGAAACAAATAACTATTATTTCCAAAGTCAATAAATTTAAATATTATTGACTGTATTAATTAATTTGCTAACCTTAGGGTATATGAAATGCAATGTCTTTGATGATCTGGCTCTTCCACTTAAAATATTAGCTCCAGACACGATTCTAATTAATTGAAATAAAA